AGGAGGTGAACGTGAGCCCCTGCCCCACGCAGCCGTGCTTGCTCCACAAGGGAACGTCCTACAGCATCAACGTCACCTTCGCCAGCAGTGAGCACCGCTGCCCCAGCTGGGGTGCCGGGTGGGCTGCTCGGGGGGAGGTCATCTCGGTCCTACTGAGTGCAGAGGAGTGAGGGAGGGTGGCTGGAAAGGGGTCTGGGTGGGAAGAAGTGGCCAGTGAGGAAGAGCATCCCTTTAGTTGTGTCCTTGCAGCCTCTAGGGTACATGGAGAGGAGGGTGTAAGGTAGAAGTGTGTTCCTTGCTCAAATGCCGTGCTTGTGCTTCTCTGTGTTCTGCAGAGATCGAGAGCCAGGGCAGCAAAGCAAAGGTGTACGGTGAGATGCTGCACGTGGACATCCCCTTTCCCATTCCTGAGCCTGATGGATGCAAGTCTGGGATCCAGTGCCCCATTCAGAAGGGCCATTCCTACAGCTACCTGAATAAACTCCCTGTGAAGAGCGAGTACCCCAGTGTAAGTAAGCAGGCAGCTGGTCTGCTCCTCAGAGATACTGCCCTTCCTGGGGCAGTCCCACCACCTGCCTTGAAGGAAGGACACCTTGTCTTGTGGTGGTAGGGAAGGGGTTAGAAGACTCCTTAAGCTGTTTGAATTTCTGCTGTGAGTGTGACTTTTGTTTCAAGTTCCCACTTAGGGACAGACCCAGCAGAGGAAGCAGCCTGTCTCCAGCTGCTGAGAAGTGGCTTCAGCTGCCCGAGTATCCTCCTGTACTATGCCTCCCTGCAAAGCCTGCTGCATTCAGCCAAATGCTCCCAAACTGGGGGTGCTTGGCTCCAGGGTGCAGTTCAGCTGTGAGGCTGCAGGGCATTACCACTCTCTGCTCACTCAGTGAGGATCTGAGTACAGTGTGTGAACATCTTGTGTGTCACGCAGCTGTACCCTCCATCCATGTAAAATATTCCAGGAGTCACTGTGGGAATGTGGCCCTCTAATCTTTCTGTGCAAAGCTCCCAGGACCTCCTTGCTCCACAGAAGTGATAACTCTTCTCCCTGTGTCCTTGCCTTGGGGTTTCCTAAACGCTCTCATTTCCCTCTGCTCTTCTCTCGCTTTCAGATTAAACTGATTGTGAAGTGGGAACTGGTGGATGACCAAGACCAGATGTTGTTCTGCTGGAAGATACCAGTGCAAATCACCAGCTGAGGAGCCCTGCCTTTAGTAGGGCTTGGGGAAGGGAAGACCAGAAGACAACACAGGCCAAATTCTTTTATATAATAAGCATTTCTTACTGCTTCCTTCAGAGCTCTGCAGCCTCTGAGCAGCCAGAACCATGTTCCTGCAAGGTCAGCCTGGGCAGAGGGCTCTTACCCCCTTTAAGAGTCCCCTGGGTGTTCTCACAGCAGCTCAAGGGGGAGCAGTGCTGGCTGCACAAGTGACTGAGCATGATCCTCCAGCTGCTCTGTGGAGGCACATTAGTTTTTTGAAATGGAGCTGCCTGTCCTCTCAAAGGAGTTTCTCTGTGATGACCTTGGCTAGCATATGAGCTGCTACCTGGTAACCCTTCAGTGCCTCTTCTAGAATGCCAGCTACATCCACTTGTGCCAGCAGGCCCGCAGCTGGAACACTTTTTTTGTGGATGCAAAGCAAATGGCGTTTGACATCTCTGCAGGGATGATTCTTTCTCTAATCAATGGTTTGCACTACTAATTTGGAGCTGCTGGGAGCTCCTGAACCTCTTTTTATAACTTTCCTTTTAATAAAAGCTAGATATTATCTGCTTCTGTGTCTTCTTTGAGTAGAGAGGAGGACAGTGGCTGAACGTCTTCAGCTGGTCTTGGTACTTTTTCACTGAAGGTGTGGATGAGATGGTGGTATGCTGGCCTGAGCATGGGTTATGTGTGGGCAGCCAGACATCTCTTGCTGGCTGCCAGTGTCCATCTGGCAATGCCTGGCTGTGCTCCTGCCTCGCTGGTCCTCTGCTGCCCTGAAACTGTGTAAGGGCTCACTGAGGAGGGGGTGGTAGAAGGCTGCACTATAGGTAAATGCTGTTGCAGTGAGGGCTCTTGGGTTGGACCAGCAGGCTCCCAAACCTGCCAACTGCAGAAACCTACATACTGTTGTGCTTAAATGCAGCCCCCTTGTGTGTGAACAAGGCAGGGTGTGAGCAGCCACAACTGCTGTGCTGTTGTGGGGATGGAGTTGGCTCTTGCTGCTGGCACTGGGCTTGAGAGATAAGCAAGTATTTGGCCTGGCAAGAGTCTCAGCTCTAGCTCAGGAGGAGGCTGGGTGCCAGCATGAGACACATAAAAATTGGCTTACAGGAGTGCGGTGGCCTTGGTAGGCTGGAGCCACAGGGAAGATGTGGCTCTGGTACCCCGTGGCAGAGGCAAGACAAGCATAGTTCTGACCAGCCCCAGTGTCCTGAGCCACAAGGGCCCAAAATATATGTTTTATTTACCAACATGAGAGAAGTTTCCAGCAGACTCGGTTAAAAAAACAACAACAAAAACAAACCCCAACAAAAAAAAGAGTCACCAACAACTTTACAGAAAGGAAGCTGTGCCTGTCCCCCTGCCCAGCAGCACAGAGGGGAACATGCCTGGCTAAGGGCTGTGCATGGGCTTGCCGCAGGGAGAGCTGGCCCTGGGGCCCCTCCGGCCTCTCGCCATGCCCCAGGGTTAGGCAGCAGTTTTAGAAAGCTGGGGTCACCCCCTCTCAAAAGCTCTGGCCAGAGGGCTGGATGCTTTATGAGAAGCAAGGCCAGCACCCGTGGTGTGGGTGAGGCTTGTCGCTAGGTCAGTGCAGCAGCAGTGGGGAGATGAACCCCCTTCCTCTCAGGGTGAGATGGGGAGGCTGGGGCTGTGTGGCAGGAGAGGGTGTCCCGTGAGTTTCCACGGCATGAGGCAATGTGACGGGTGCTGGGAGCCGGGGTGGGCTCTGCTGCAGCAGGAGCAGGGGCTGGCAGGGTGCCGAGGTTGGGAGCTCAGCCCTCACCTGTAGAGAGAAGGTGGCGAGGAAGTTGTGCTCTTCAGAGGGGAAGAAGCAAAGAGCCTTGAAGCACCTGCAGCCTCGGCGGGCCCTTCTCCATGCTCC